TCTGTATCTGACAATGGCCTCTTGCTGCCCCACTTCAATGGCCAGGGAAGGCAGGCAATGGTGGGAGTCCTGCTGTCTTGTAAGGTGGCTGCATTTCTGTAGCTGCTGTCCCTGCTATGCTCTGCTGCCTGTCCACACCAGAGCTAGATGCCTCAATGGTAGCTAGCAGATCAGAGTCAGTTGAAGATAGAACTACAGCCATCCAGAAAGTTCAATAAGGAAGGGGAAAATCCACTGGGGACAGGGGACAGTTGGGGAAAAATGAGCCCCCTCTTCACCTCAGACAGTGGTTGCACTATGGACTATCTCTTACTTTAAATGATAATTCGTTCCAGCTCTTCAGTGTGTAGGTTTCACTAACTTAGACCATGTCTGCACTACAAAATTATGTCGACTTATATCTGAATATATATCCCACCACAGTTATTAAATCACTTGTGTGTGTGCACACTTGGCTCCTTGTGTGGGTGGTACCCGTCCACACCAGGAGCACTTGTATCTATGTATTGTCAGTGTGGGGCATTGTGGGACAGCTCCTGAAATCCAGGAACAGTTGACATAAGCAATGCAGTGTCTACTACACTGACGCTGCATTGACCTCATTACATCCACTGTGACTACGCCGCTCGGGAAGGTGGTATTACTAAATTGACACAGAAAGGGACTTATGTCAGCAGGAGCCAAATTTAAACGAAGACACTTCCACAGCTAGTTCCACACCAGGCAGCTTACATCAACCTAACCCTGTAGTGTAGACCAGGTATTAGACTCCTTTACATTCAAGTACACATCATCAGATGAGTGGAAGTGTGGTTTAAGGGAGACTAACTTACACCACCTTACAGCACCTTATATCAACCCTAAATTTTACTCATACGAGTAAGGTTGTAGGATTGACCTCAGAGTGTGCTGCAGCTCTGTCTGCACTACAGATCTTACAGTGGCACAGCTGTACCACATGTAGCCGGTCTATGCCAACGGGAGAGAGCTCTCCCATTGGCATAATTAAACCACCCCCAACAAGCAGCGGCAGCTGTGTCGGCAGGAGAGCGTCTCCCACCGACATAGCGCTGTGCACAATGGCGCTTTTGTAGGTGAAACTTATGTCTGTCAGGGATGTCGTTTTACCGACAAAAGTGCTAATGTAGATAAAGCCTAAGTCTCATTTAGTGAATGCCAAGTGGAAAATCTACTGAAGTAAGGAGTCCTTTGAGTATTATGTTTCTTTAAATCCCCAAGAATTTTACCCTAGGAACATTTTTAGGGAGATGTACTGGGAAAACATCATTAGAAATATTTCGCACAAAAACTTCCCTGAAAAGTTCGTCATTGTCAATTGAAGCAGAGGCATTATTTCCCACAATACATTTTATTTTTTGAAGGTGGCTGTAAAATGATGTGATTAATTGAGGATTCCTTTTTTTAATTTCTGGTTTGCCTGACTGACACGAGTAACCTGTGTTAATTTCCCCAGATGCCTGATGCAGCAGTGACCAAGAGCACAAAATGATGTATTATTTACTGTGGCATTCAACGGTCATTTTCATCCTACAGTAGAGTAACAGTTTAATGAGATCATATTAACATGCTGCCCAACAATCCTGACATGTGGAGTGTTGATCAAAATCTGATTAAATTCTCTTAGATTAAGCACATTTGCTCAAATTCATGTTCAGGTACTTTTGACTCACCCTGTGTAATGGTGTTTTACCATGCATAACACATCTCCTATTACAAGCAGCTTTAAAAAAATCAAATAAAACAAAGTAATTTATGTCAAAAAGTAAGAAACACTCACCAAATACATCATTACGCCCCTAACTGTGTTCTGTTTAAGGTATTAAAGCAATTTAGCAATGTCAAGTTTAAAATTTAATGGGCTTTAAGGATTTTTTGTTTTAAGCATTGGTTTAGAGATTATTATATTTTATAGTCTTTTCTTATATACTCTAACCATTTAAAACTCAAAATCCCAAGAAAATTGTGTACCACATTGTCAGCTATCTTTCACTAAATGTGATGGCACTTACTGAAATGTATTTTGATCAATGCTTAATAAATTATGATTTTCACCTCAGTCCATGGCATAAACCCAGGAGTCCTCACACTATTCCCTTGAAATTTCCCCAGGCACTGGGCACTAAGAAATAGCCCTAATTTTTCTTTAGGATTTTACTACTAAAACAGGAAATAGTTATCATTTTACAAATCTAACTGAAAAAGCTTTATTCAATTAGAAAGTCTGATTTATGTTATAAATAAGACAAAATATAGGGAGTGGATATTTCCCTTATTGCAAAATGTAAAATTCTATGTAGATAAGTTACTGTCTTTCTGGGCCTTCCATTGCCACTCCTATGTAAACAAGAAGCTTCCAGCTGAGGCTACTTCAGCTACTTCTTTCCAGTTTACCTGTATTCAGATCAGGAGAGTTCTGTTTCATGTCCCAGCTGCAGTAATATGCAACATGTGCAGCCATCTGAATGGCAACTATCAGTTTATTTACACCTTGGAGGTTGTGAATCCATATCTCCTCCTAAATATTTATTTGAGTGGAAATTTCAAAGATATATACATATGTGTATATGTGTATATAATTTTAATTTGTGTGTGAAATGGAAAGTGCCGGATTGGATTGACAGCTGTAGAAACTCAGCTCAGGTTTCCACTGAGCTGTTCACAATAACACTCAGGTCTTTTTTGCCTGAGTTTTTACTGTTAATTTAGAAACCAGCAATGTGTACAAACATTGCTTGTTAATGTTCGTGTTTTTAATGCTTCTCTGTGCACATCACACTTTGGAGTGGGTATTTACTTTGAAACACACTTGCTTCTGAACTAGCTGTTGTGTGAGTAGCACTTGCAGAAATTGCTTTTAACCATCTAAAAAAGGAATTAGGAATTAAATATTGTTCCCTCCTCCCCCGCCCCCGATCAACCAAAAAAACCCAAACACGGTTTGTCCATCATCTGAGTGCCTTTAATGTGAAGAAAGGAGTGAAGTTCCAGGGCAAATTGCTCAATGGGCAATGGGCTGTAGTCATTCGGCTCCAGGTTCAAATCCAGCCAGTCAATACCATGTGAAAGCTTTATGTTGGCTTGTGTGGTCTCAATCTAGTTTCTCGGGATGGGTATCTACATCACAATGCCCTCCACACCAATGGCACTAATTGGCTAACTTCCTGGTGGCCTTAGTATGGATAAGATTTGGTAGACTTTGGTGAGTGAACACACCTTTTACCCCCACAGAGGTGTCCCTAGAACAGAGGTATGAGATTGTGGGAAATCTTATGCTACTCTTGCACAGATAATCATGTAGAACTTTGTAGTTTTTTTTCACATGACGAGCCAGACTCTCAGCCCTACCTTGCTCCTTTTGCATTGGTTGTATGATGCAAACGGAGAAGAAAACAGTCTTATATCCCCACTAAGACTCCCCTGGAATGAGAGGATTCCTAATGGATAGAGTCCTGGCTTTGCTAGCTTCTATGTCACCTCCCCTCCCCACTGCCAATCCTGGCAGGACAGAGTTGAGAATCCAGCCCAGTGCATTTTAATCAGGTAAATTGCTTTCGAAAAAAAATTGATACAAAATAATAATAATAAAAAAAATCACCGTTAACTATAGGTGAAAGATTTAGTGCACTGTTTCAGAAAGCAGAGGCTTCTGTGAATTTCAGGTTTTTTTTAACTATAGAAGATATATTTAGCAAATAAACCACTAAGGACAAACAAATGTTTTAAGTGAGGTTTCCTTCCAGAATTCCACCAAGAGGCATCATAGCAGTGACAATTATTTTGTGGTTATGCAAAACATCTGACTCTTATGTGGGAAGACGGAGGGCCATCTGATCGAAAAATGCATAAAGTCTTTGGCTCGTTTTCCTCAGTTTCACACACTGTTTATACAGAAAATGGGGGAGATGCAGTTTCCTGTGGTACATTTGTGTAAATTATGCTTGTTTGCATAGTGTAGCTTTAGGATTGAGAAGATATATTCAAGTCTAATGACTAATGTACCATTGACAATTCCATATATAACTATAATAGGTCAGCCGAGATGCAGTAAATATCCCCAACAGCGACTCTTTTTTTATGAGGTGCCAGAATTTCTGTCACAGACCTCTTGACATAATCCAGTGGACTGTTGCAGCACTCCTCTCCATGGTGACATGAATCCATTCTGTGCTCTCTTTCTTCAGATGGTTCTCAATTCCCCCATTAACTCCATGATATTATTTACCACATTAGTCTGAGGAATCTGAAGTCAAGCACAGACTCTAAATTTATTTTCTGCAGCTATGTTCTGATTAATTTCATTGATACTCCACAGTTATATGGGATGTATTGCATTACGATATCCTACACAGTAATTCTTATACCAAGATTGTCTCATGCACGTAGAAGGTCAGAATAAGGTTTATGGCAGTAACATATAAGATCAGAAGCTTTCTGATCTTTTTCTCATTGGAACACTTAATTTGTTTTTCATATTTAATAGAGTCCCTTACAACATGAAGAATTACAGTAATGTAAAGATCCTCATTAGCCATCAGCCAAACACTATGTGAGTGAAGGGAGTGCAGGCTTATGTCCACGTTTTTGTATTTATGGAGACACCTCTGAGGACGAGAAACTCACTTGGTCTAGGAATTTTAAGAATTCCACTACCCACTTGCTGCTGGTTCTTGGGCTGCAAGCGGGCATGGCCATCAAGCCTCCTCTCACCACCATACTCAGACATACATGCTCTTTTTTACATGCCGTGACTCCTTATGGTAGTAGACTTAGTATTGGAACTGTGACTGTGTATCACATAGACTCCAAAGTCCTATACATTTAACAAAGACATTAGATGAGCTTACATGTATTTTAACATATTCCTTTACAAGACCACCCTTCACATCTGGTCTTGTTAAAATACAAGCCCAGCAATCAGGGTATCAGGGGTATATTCCCAGCTTTAGTAAGTAACTTCACCTCTCTGTGTTTCTCCTTAGTTAACAAGGAACTAATGCCCATCCTCATGGAGATGTTGTAAATCTTCATTCATCAGTGTGGGTAAGGAATTTTGATATCCATGAAGGGAAAATCTTGTAGCTTGACAGGAAATGATAAAAACATTTTCCTTGTATATTTGGTCACATAATAATTTCTCTGTCAATGTCAACACAATTAGAGAAAATATCACTTAAGTTCCTCAAAAGGGAAGTCGATTTTTTTCATGTGTTTGCTTCTTCAACAGAATTTTAAGTTTTGTCATGGTATCTCTGAGCTAAGATAACACTGTCACTCTCAACAATAGTTTGCAAAAGTGTCAAAAAACGAAGCAAAACTTGGAGGGAGGATTACTCCTTTCATATTATAAATTATTTGTAAAATGGATGTAAAATGGTTTTCATAATGATATATATTATAGTGTCTTAACAGTCTAAATTGTATTGTACAATGCTTTGTCTGCATGGAATTGCACCAGCTGAACCTGCTGTGCCTTTGTAGAGTCCTATTCAGCTCTCCTTTTTTACTCCCTCCTTGGGCAAAATCCTTTCTGAAGCCAGTGTGATCTATTCCTCAGTAAGGAGTACTGAATAAGGACCCTTAAATGATAAACTCCTTGGAAGAGGAATCTGCTATTTGTCTTGCACACTTTACCTACTGTACAGTACCATTTATACTGAGGACGTTAATATAATAAAGCAATAATAATAAATTAAGCATCTGTATCAAGCAAACAATGACAGAACTCAAGAAAAATGTCACTTATTTCCAGTGTTACAGATCAAATGGAGGATTCCAATATATCATTATTACTGTTTTTCTGTATTATGTTTATTGGCTTCTTAGAGGTACTGGACTTGTATACTAGAAAGTGAAAAAATAATATATTTTTTCAGAAAAGAATGATAAGATTGCTGGATTTATTAATGTTTGGCACATTTCCAGCATAAGGCTCTATCTGAGCCTGAGGCCTAAATCTTGTACCCGTAGATCAGATATAACTGTTTCTCTTTGGAGGATAATCTAGGTTTTTCAAACTGTTAAGATCCACATAGTCTTTGTTTATTCAAACATTCAAGTATTGTTGGGCTTCCAGTATTGTACTTGTTAGCTTTGATAAACTATCTGTGCCAAAAAAAAAAACCCAACAAAAAAACAAAACAAAAAACAACCAGCCAGTTTTACATGTTAGAAAAAGAAGATTTTAAACAATTTGACTAAATGCCTTTACAGCTTTGGTTTTAATTAGACGTTTTGCTTTTTCAGCTTACTCAAAAGAGTTAGATAGCTTCAAACCACGTCAGTCTATAAAACAGCAGGTATCAGCTTTAACTGCCTCTGAAAATATTAAATGTATTCAATTACTAGAATCCCTGGGAGAATGATACTTTTAATGTTCATTTGTCTTATGCAAGGTTTGTAACATGTTTTCTTTCTTGTCTACTGTGGTTTTGGAGATTTTGTGACCCAATAATGTCTGAGATTTTCTAATGTCACAGTACATTCAATTAGTGCGTTCTTCTTAATATAATTCATCACAACAAACTGGGTTGCACCACAAGTGTCATTTGAAAAGGAAAGTCCCCTCTCTTCAGGATCAAACCAAAATAGTCTGAGCACCAAATAATAAGCGGTTATCTGAGCAATGATAGTTGACAAAGTCATTACCTATATATTTTGAAACAGAGTGATTCTGGGGCTAATTTTCAGTCAAAAACCATCTATGTACTATTCCACCCCTTTTCATTAGCATATTAGAAATCTGCATGACATACCTAGAGCAGCATTGCTATGGCAAAAGTGATACAGAAACAAAATGACATTCAAGTCACTGACCAACACAACGCCTGGGAGAGCTGAAGATCCCCTTGAGAAAACTCTCGGTGTTATTTCTGACTTACCTTTTTCTCTGAAAAAAGAATGTGGGATATGAAACTTTATTTCTTCATGAAAACAGAACAAGAGCCAGGTGAGACATTGACCAATTTCTATTCCAGATTAGAGATGCTAGCATTCATTCTTAATTTCCTGTTTTGGAGCATAAAACCAAAATGCAAATTGTGCGGCATTGTTCACTGACCAAGCTCCAAGAAGAACTCTTAGTGAGCCAGAGCATATGGTGGACAGACATTTAAACTTCCATTGTTTCATGGAAGTGGCCAAGTGACATGCCTTAGCAAAGGAAAATCAAGTACAATTTGAATATATGCTAAAGGTACTCCCATCTGAAGTCTAAGCAGGCTAAGTCTTACAAAGTAAGTATGCGTCTCAAAACTCTTGTAGAAAGGGTAATCAGTTCTATCTTCCCCCTGTAGCATTCTAAGCTTGCAAAGTCTTTCTTAAAGGAGTGCCATATATAAAGAAAGGAAAAAAATAAAAATCAGGGCACGATGTCTGTCCCAGATGACAGAATTCAAACCCAGCAAGCGGGAAGGAGGGAATCCATCTGCAATGGACGGGAATGATGCACAGACAAGATTCAAGAACCCCAGATTGATTAAGCATTGACTACAGGAAATAATGTTACAAACTCAGAGGAAGCTAATCATATCTGCCTTGGAAGATATCTTATGGCTTGTCAAAACTGCAGTACACCACAAAAGCAGAAATGGAAGAGAGAGAAACTCTCTCAAATTATCCCATCAGCACTACATGGAATGTGTGGCATGATAGGAGAATGCAAAACTAGTTATGCTGCGAAGGAGAAATTGGAAGACAATGTGAAGAGGCTGCAACAAAGAAGAATCAAGACTTTAAGCAGTTGCAGACTGAAAAAGAATCGTTTGAAAAAGAACTTGAAGGCAAGAAAAAAACTGATGGATTTACAAAAGAGAAAAATAAAAAAAAGTGTTTAAAACATGCAGCGACCAAGACTGCAAGTGATGATCTAGTGGCAGACAGACAAAGAACAAAATAAAACAGCTTTGGAAGAACTCTGAATGTGCAGTGGCATTACAACAGAAAAAAGGCAGAACTAGGAAGACAAATCGATCTTGCCTTCCATTCAGGGTCATGCAGAGACACCTGAAAAGGCAACAAGCAAGTTCTTTATGGAAGAAAAAGTTTAATGAAACCACCAAAAATCCAGAAAGACTGTTATCATGTGACAATGGTAAAGACTCACAGAAAATGTCACTTTCTCCTAACACTGAAAGAGAAACTGTATTAAAATAAGGGAAATTCTATTATTCCAAAAGCTACTCGGTCTCTCTCTGCTTCAATATAGAATTTCTTCTTAGAACATTCCCAACCTCTGCATGGCTCCCTCTACAGAGTTAAAGAAAGGGTGCGCATACCCTCACATTCCAGCCCCCCACCCCTGCTTTTTCCTGTTGAAAATATGATGTTGGCAGACCAGGTGCCAGCTCTTGCCAAAACTTTAGGCCCCAGCTGAGCACTGACAAATTCATTGCTGCAATCCAGTCTATTTCACCTCTGTGTTAGTATGATTGTGATGGGGCGAGTTTGCCCTGCACTGATACAGCAGGGGTTAACTCCACCCTTTGGGCTGAGGAGGCCACGCCCCTTGGCCCTGTTGGTCATGCTCCGGCTGGAGACCAGGTATAAAATGGAGCAGCCCAGCTCATTTGGGGCTGGCCACTGAGGAGGGAGGATGCATGCTGCTGGTGGCTCCAGCCCAGAAACGGCAGAGGCCTCAGGTGGCAGAAGCCAGAGGCACCGAGACCCAGGTGAACACCCAAGCATTTGCGGACACCCAATGATTGTCGGAGCTGCCGAGAGCTGCATAGGCTGAGAAGCCCAGAGACCCTGCAGATGCTTGGACCACTGTACCAGGATAGGGTAGGAGGTAGCCCAGGGGGACTAGCCATTGTGCTGGGTGGTGTCAGTTTGTTTCAGTTGGATCCCTGGTGACACAGTGGAGGGCATACTTGCCATTGCCAGGGTCCTGGTCTGGGAGCTGGTGGAGCAGGGAGGCCCCAGGTCCTGCTACCCTGGCTGCTACTCACCCCCAGGTGGTGGCCCATAGCCTCACTGGCCACTAGGACACACTGCCTTGCTGAAGAGGGCAGTCACATTGACTCTGGCCAGTGGGCCACACAGCCTTGAGATACAGGGCAGCCCCATTTGACCCTGGTCATTGGGCCACACAGCCCTCAGGGAGAGGGCAGCCATATTGACTTTTGCCCTTAGGCCACAGTACCCTGAGTCAAAGGGTGGTTGAACAGACTTAGCCTTGGGAATATACCAACTCTCCCCCCCCCCAAAAGGAGACATGGTGTCCTTGCCCCACAACAATGATTAAAATGTGTATTGGATGTATAACAATGTGTTTAGTATTTAGAATTTATGAAATGTTTGTGAGTTGCTAAATGTATTAATCTCACTTATCTTTATCACATGTTATAAGGTAATATTTAAGTTTTTGCTTTATAACTAAAAATGTTTGCTCTGAAACTGTGAACCTAGTCAGGAGGGATCATCTCCTGCCCATCAAGAAGGCCTATCAAAACTAAATGGGCCATTGTGGGACATCACAATACAAAGACTTTGTTAATTGCCCCTAACATCCAAAAGATGCTACCTGCAAAAAGGCTCGTCCCATCAGCTTGAATTCTGGAAGGAGGAAATAAAAATAACTATTGCTGTTTGGACTTTCACAAGGCCAGAGCTATGAAACAGAAGTAGAGATTCCCAGGGTCAACCTGGGTTAGCCCTAAAAGGTATTCAGATTACTACAGCTCTGTCACCTTTTGAAACTATACACTATAACTCATTTGTGTCTGTATGTTTGCCTGCTTTAACCTTGTAATAATGCTCTCCTTTCTTTTCTTAGTTAATAAAGCCTTAGATAGTTTATTATCTGATTGGCTACAAGCGTTGTCTTTGGGGTCAGATCTAAGGTACAAATGCACCTAGGGTAAGTGACTGGTCTCTTGGACTGGGTTGCTATACGCCAAGGATCTCAAAATATTTAGGTTACTCCAACTATCACAAAGTCCACTTGGATTGCAAGATAGACTGGAATGCCCAAGGGGACTGTCAGTGACTCCGTGGCAAGACTGTTACAGTGCTTTAGGAATTCACACTTGTTACTGTATTGGTGAAATCTAATTATAGAGCATAAAACCAGGTTGGGGTCTCTGACCTGCTTCATGACAGTCTGCCCTGAGGTTGGCACTCATGGTTGTGAGACATGCCATACAGTGTGACTGACAGTCCTTAACAGTGATTAATATTTGACAACATACGGCTCCAGGTGAGTCAATGCTTTCACCATTTGTCCAGATCCGATCAACTTCTGGCCTTGAAGAATCACTTGGATTATCAAATCCCAAAGAATTAGACTCATTCTAGCCTGATTCTAATTTATACTAAAGTTTCTTTATACAGCCAAAGCAGTGTCATGGAGGGCTAGTCCACATGACCAGTTAGGTCACTGCAAGCTCGGTGTAAATTATGCTGAACTAGCCTGCCTTGGACTAAATGTCCATGTGAACCCTGCTGACGTGTGTTAACAGTCGGTAAATGCACTTTGGTTAGTCCTATTTCAAAGAGGACTAGATCAAAGTACATTAGCAAACTATTAATGTGTGTCAGCAGGGTCCATGTGGACAGATAGTCCATGGCAGGCTAGTAGTGCACAATGTATTCACACCCCAGCTTGCAGCAAACGAAACTTTAGTGTAAATGAGAATCAGGACCAATAGGCTTAGGACTCTTCTGAGATGGATGAAGGTTGTGGTGTGAGAGTATCAATGCTACTGGATTAGCACACTGCAGATTTTTCATACATTTGACAGTCATAAAACTAGCCTGGTGAATGAAGAAGGCCTTAGTTCAATATGTGACTAACTATAACAGCCCCAAACGAGGAAGTGAAAAGATGAAAAATGTTAAATTTAAAATAATGGTAAAACAACTGGAATGGAATATATCTATATCTAATCTATATAGATAGCTATATATCATACAATAGTATTTTTATTTAACAAACAACTTATCCTTGAAATTTAGATTCAGAAACAGTTTTGGAAACAATGATATCTCGCTAGCCAGCTCAGTGGCTCAGTTTTATTCAACACCTCTGTCTGTTTTTTGGGGTAACGGGAATGAACAAGAAAAACATTTTAAAAGGATAATTAAGTAAATATTGCATCTTAACTACAGAGAATTTAAATGATGATTTATCTGCTGCACACAAACAACCTGTTCATAATGATATTAACATCATGAGCAAAATTAGAAAGACTCCCAGATCACACATAAGGAACGGAAAAGCACATTTGTAGACAAAATAGGATCTGACTTGTAATTGGACTGTTGAAGTCCCTTTGTAGTTTTCACTCCTGACCTATCATACACACAGCTACTATCTGTAGGATACATTATAACCTAAATACTTCATCAGTATTTGCATGTACTGGCTGTGAAGCATTTTGTGTGTGTGAAAGAGTCTATAAGTTGTCTTGTACAATGCAGCAGTCAAGTTTACCTTACAAGGAACTTGAGCAAGACCTCATCTGACTGTTTAGACTTAGGGTGACAGTCAGACACAGGGAGGACTCAATACCATGAAATATTCAAAGTGTCTCAGATGGAATTTGTGTTTGGCAACACAAAACAATGTACAAAACATTACCAGCTAAAAACTGCTGTTTTTTTTCTGTGTTCTTTGAAATCACCCTGCAGGGAAACAGTGAAGATTTCTCATTGAATCTCAGAATGCCTATCTGTCTTCTGTCTCTCCAGGGACTTCACTTTTCAACACTCTCTCCATTCTAGTTGTGTTTTTTCTGCTATTTATTTCAGTTGTATTGGATACTAGATATTGCTCCAGAAAGAAAGACCTCATCTTGCTTCCAGCTGCTTGATCAACTGAAATGGCTCCCAATGCAGTTGGTGAGAATGATCTAAAATGCACATTTTTCCTTTGTATTGGGTCTTTTAGGCCTCACGCTTGATGCTGACGTTTCTGAAGCTATTGCCTGCCCTTGTGTGTGTCACAGAGATTGGGTTGAGGGGACACAGCTGGCCCAGATGTGGCTGAGTTGGTCCTGATTGGCTGGTCTTTAGTTTATTGGCATGGAAGAAAACAGCATGACTTTGCTGGTTCTGGTTGGACTTGATCTTAGCTCCTCTAGGTGTCCCACAAACATATATATCATGTGTATATATATCATGTCCTTATATAATGTCCTTTTACCCTAGGGAAGGGATTATTAATTAATTAATTATTGGTGTACTGGCAATCTCAAAATGCCAGGGATTTTTTCTTTGAGATAGGTTAGCTTTTCTCTTCATTGCTCTTTCTGAATCCTAGGCTTCCAACAGGCCCCAGCACTAGTTAGAGCAAAGGGAATTAACCAGACAAATCTCCTATGTATTATGATGGGAACATAGCATTTAATGAGGACTGTGAAACCAAAAATGGTTGTTTTTCTGTAATTAAATGAAAACTTTCAGATGGGAAGAAGGTTTCTTGTTTTGTTTGTAATAGAAAACCAATTTTTGAAAAATCTTCAAATCCACTTAGTTACTGATTGTGTTTGAAACAATTTGGTCACCACAGTCAAAACCACCTGCAGTTGAAACTACTGGTCTGCAAAAAAACAACTCTTGAATTTGACTCTACAGGGGCCTGAAGCCTTCTTCAAACAGTCCTGAACTGAAATGAATGCATACATAAAAATATGAAAAATTAATTAGGAAATGCGGGGCAGGTTGTTTAAAAAAGATGCTTTTAAAAAAATACAAACTAAAAAGAAGAATGTATCTGGTGCCTTGCATTACAAACAGCAGTGTCTGCTATAAACTTCTTCTAGGCCTTCTGCCACAGAACACATGCAAGATGTTGCCAGAGCTCTGTGTATTGTTGTCACACATGAAAAAATAAAACCATGCTGTACTAAATAAGTCTAAAATAGTGCAATGAAAGAGAAATGGAGATTAATGTGACCTCTTTATGTCAAGCTCCTAATGCACTTTATATCTGTCTGTCATAACTCTTTACCTGCTGAAGTGTATTTGGTTTATACATGAAATATCACAACTTTTGTTTCTATTTCTGGTTTTAAATGGCTGTGGTTTTGTGTGTATTTATATACTTGTATATATTTATATGTATTTTCACAATATACTTGCCCAAATCAGGCTAAACTGGCTAATTTATGAACTGCAGCGAAGACTGGCATTCAAGCACTATGTGGCATTCATTCTGGCAATGGTACTTCAGATATGACTTTTGCACTTTGACAAATTCATGAGAAATGTTGTGAGCAGATATAAGACCAATATGTAAACTTTTTTCAGAGTAACAGCCGTGTTAGTCTGTATTCGTGAAAAGAAAAGGAGTACTTGTGGTACCTTAGAGACTAACCAATTTATTTGAGCATAAGCTTTCGTGAGCTACAGCTCATCCGATGAAGTGAGCTGTAGTTCACAAAAGCTTATGCTCAAATAAATTGGTTAGTCTCTAAGGTGCCACAAGTACTCCTTTTCTTTTTTTATGTAGATTTTGTTAATCTTACTATGGCCTTTGACTCTCTAAATCAAGATAGTCTGTGGACAGTCCTCCACAAATTCGGCTGCCTCAATAAGTTTGTCAACATTATTAAACCTTTTCATGTAGGAATACAGGTTTGTGTCCTTGACCAAGGCTGTTTCTCAGTTCCCTTTGTTGTCACCCATGGAATAAAACAAGGCTCTGTTCTCGCTCTGACATTATTTAGCATCATGTTTACAGCTGTGCTAATAGATGCATTCAGAGATATTGATTGTGGCATTTATATGCTGTAGCATATGGATGGAGGTCTCTTGTATCTACATTGCCTGTGTGCAGAGAGAAGATATGAAGACTTTTATTTGCAAATTACTGTTTGCTGATGATTGTGCTTTATTGGCCCCTTTTCTCAGGGACATTCAGTTGCTCACTGACTGCTTTGCACATGCAGCAAAACGTTTTAGCTTTATGATCGGCCTAAAGAAGACTGAGATCATGGTCCAGCCTCAACCAGGAAGTACGGCAACGACTCCAGTTGTGTCCATCAACAGTGTACCACTCAAGGTCGTTGACACATTTTGCTACCTAGGTAGTGTCATTCTATGAGATACAGTGATCGATGATGAAATGCATTGGTGCAGCCAGTGATGCCTTTGGAAAGTGATGCCTTCAGTATAGTCTCCGGAATGAACACGGCATCTGACTGCAAACAAAAATTGATGTTTACTGCACCATCATTACCACAGTCCTTTGCATCTACAATATGTGGACTACTTATCAATGCCACATAAAACGCTTGGACCAGTTCCACCTATGATGTCTACGATGGGTTGTTCCAAACACCAAAGTCCTTGAGTGCTGTAACATCACAGGCATTGAAGCTTTTATAGTGAGAGCACAGCTGAGATTCTGCGGCCATGTGGCCTGTATGTCTGACTGTAAAATCCTTAAGGCCGTGTTTTACACAGAATTGCAGACTGGAACTCATTTTAGGGTCAGACCAAAAAAACGTTACAAAGACACACGCAAGGCCAACCTCCAATCTTACAATGTTGACCTCAGCACCTGGAGCTCTTAGCCCATGACAAGATCTGATGGCAGCAGCTTTGCCACCTCAGACTGAAAGATTTTGAGAGCTTGTGAATTGCTGCAATCAAGGACAGACATGTGAGGAGTAAAACTAAAAGCAGCACATATCCATCTACACTTGTTTTTACCTCTGGCACTTGCGGATGGGTCTGCAGGTCTGAAATTGGTCTTTGGTCTCATTTCAGGACCTGCAATAAGTGACTGTAGCTCATCTGTCGAACTCGACAGGAGACTCCATCATTTTCACAAGTTATTGATGACTGTATAGCTCACAATTGGCATAACCTATAGTGATCATGAAAGGTCATTAATTAGAAACAGAACTAGGTAATATTTTCAGACAGCCCACTAAATGTTTCTCCAAATCCTTTGTGTATTACTCACATAAGTAGACAATTGACTAGTGAGACTACTCACAAGAGAGGCAAACAGGATTTGGCCACGGTGTTTAGATGGATGCACCTCTCTGTCTTCCAGAAATATTGATTTCAGTTCTGTTTGGTTTTGGAATTTGGCTGTCAGCTCAGTCCACTTTCCATCAGGACAGTTATACACCTTTAAAGTAAAAAAATAACCCTTAATGGAGCACTAGTTGGCTCTGATTCAGCCCTCTTGTGGAATTTTATGTGCCCTGACTGTAACAGAAGCACCTCTCAATGCAATAGTTTTAGTAGGATGCAGAGAATAAAATATACTACTATTCATAATGGGCAGTATGGGGTCTTTAAAGCACAATCAGGTAGGGGAAAGTACAGCTATCTGCACACTGCCACGCTGCACTAGGTGTCCTGGAGTGTGGGGAAAGCCCAGGCGAAGCCTCCCATTTGCATTGGGTGCATTCCACTGGCCTGCATATTGCACATGGGGTGGGCAGCCCAGGGCACCCTGCTCGCCCATGTTGGAGAGGCTAACCTGGAGAAACCCTTTCTCAGGAGAGTGGAAAGACTATTTGTGCCTAGCACCTATGTGGGGCCGCAAGGGAGGGGGAAGGCCCGTTATCCCTCTTCCCCCTCCCCCCTCCTTTTGGATGGCTGCTGCTACTGCAGGAGCAGGTGCTTCTCTTGCTTTGATCCCATGAAGTTGCAGCATCTGGCCAGCAGGGGGCCAGGGAGCTGAGCCCAGCAGGAACAGCAACTGTTGAAAGAGTTGCAAGCCAGCTCTGCAGGATTCCAGGACTTCCTCCAGCTGTGGGCAAGGAAGCTTACTGCAGGCCTGCAGCAAGACCTGGCCTTTCTGCATCATCTGAACAGACAGCGCAGAAGAGGCAGGTCAGCGGGGAGGGGCTTGCTGGTCTGCTGTGGAGAAGATGTGTTTGGGGGTCTGTGGTTAAACTGCACATTGCTTGTATAGGCTAACAACACTTGAATGCCTACTGTAGAGATTGCTTATCAGAGACTGATTGTTAGTGCAGCAAACATTTGTTTTCACGTGTCTTAAAATATTTTAAAATTAAGGAAACTGCATCTTCTATTGCAAATTTCTTTGCCCTTCCCACCCTTCAGGTTAGTTTCTCTTTGTCCTCCATTTTTTAAAAATATGTTTGCATCACCGGTAATAAGGCCTATCAATTTATGCGTGCGCTTAGCTCTAGGAAAAATTTACATGTCTGTGGAGTTGCTATGGGTTTGGGGACTCAATTTTTCTTTGGGGAGATAAGGTTAGTTGTGTTGGAGCTAGCTTTTTTTCCTAAGAAAGAAACCCCAAACAAACCCACCTCTTGGGCAATTTAGTTCCTTTATTTAATCTATGGATTTCTAATGCATCTAGCACTGTGTGCAGCATACAAAGTAATGAAAACATACATGGTCCACAAAAGACATCTAGGCTCTGCTCTTGCAAGCAGCTCAAAGCAGGGAAGCCCTCCACTGCACTATGTGTGAGCATAAGGAGCCACCTGCATGATGGATTCAGTTACAGGAATGCAGACCTAGTTGTCTTTTATATATGTATGGTATATGCCCTTGGAGGCTTTTTCTGGTGCCTTCTTATAAACTAAAAAACATCAGAATACTTTTTAAAGATTCTTTGTTGATTTGACCTTTGAATCATCATAAATACCATAGCTTCGCCACCTACCTTGTGTGCTAAAAGTGCAAGTAAATATCTGTCTGAAACCATAAAGAGTAATTTACAATAAAGATGAATTTTGGAAAGGGGTATATATCTTTAAATCCTTCTTCTTGGTGCTACTCCAGGGAAATAGCCATCAATGTCCCTGTCAAATGTGTGTGTGTGTGTGTGTGTGTATATATATGTACACACACAAAGACCTGTGGAGTTTCTGAGTTCAGACAGGTTATCTCACAAATCTGTGCAAAGCTCTGGTGAATAATTTATACCAGGCTTAGGGTGACAAGTTAAACACGCCCATTTTGTCTAAAATGCTATGAAGGCATCAAGATGGAGCCAAGTTGCAGGGTGAGTGGAGCTCTGCTGATGGGAATGTGAGTATAGTGAGAAGAGGGGATGCTGCTGTAAAGAAAATGAAATGTAATGAGATACTCTTTCATGCATAATTCATGGATGAAAACATGACTGCATAAAAAGCCACAGATTTTAACAAGGCAAGGCTGCAATCATACACATTATCTTCCCAGAGGAACTTTATATAATATTGGTCAAAAAGAGATGATTCTGAATACCAGTACAAAATAAAGCTGAAGTTTTTTTCAAATGCAGTAGAATTTACATTAATATACAATGGGGCTTAAAGAAAATTTATATTTACACCTTCAAATGTTGCTTAGCAAAAATGTACTTTAAAACATTTGCTTGCATCTCTTAACATAAAAAAAGTGGAAAATACTTCATATTGATAAAATAAAATCTGTATTTTGTTGAGGGTGCTGTTAGGTTAATCTGTGCTTTGCAATCTTTTACAAGCATTTTCAGAAGCAAAACTTTTGATAGGAATGGCTGGGAACAGCCTTTTAAAAAAAGATTAAATGTTAGCTATTGTCACCATAAAATGCAATTTGGTTGCATTTGGAAAAGTAAATACTGTAATTCAACATTCAAGCAGTTTAGTGGCTAGAACATGACGGTTTGAAACAGTGTTTAATGCTTGGGGTATTTAGTTGAAGGGATTAAAAATGGAATGTTGATTAAAGCTTGGGACATCTTAAATATATCACCACAAAATCCTAATGATAGTCTTAGCTAGAAGGAACAGGGATGGCTCATTTGACTGTTCACATAGTAGGGACATATAGTATATAGAAAAGGCAACAGAACAGGTCATAGGGAGCCTCAAAAACACATAAGCTGAAGGAACCTATTAAGTTATTTGTGCAGTATAAACTAAACAATCTCAACATTTGTAAGGAAAGCAAAATAGCCATATTACATCCAGTTACAATTTTATAGCCCTGACAGTTGGCTGAAGAATGCATTAAGGGTTCAAAATGACTGATGTTTCAAAATGTTCACCTTCCATGGGATTTTTTTCTGAGCTGTACTGTATAAGAGGCAGAGAAACACTAGAGAGAGCAGCAGGTTGAGTTGGTGTAGTTGCTAAACATTCTGACCCATTTAAATCAAATGATGTTATTAACCCCTATTCACAGGAACTCCAAATTCCTTCAAGTTTTGACAGCCTAGAATATAAATATGGGTCTCTTTGAGATGGGCAATAATTTAATAGCTGATTATGGAATTTTATCATTTCATAGTTTTTGTGGCAATTCAGGCAAAGGAGCATATATCCTGACTTTGCTCTGTAGCACTAGGAGTGTAAGAGTGTTTTTGTCTCTGATCTCTAACTGTGCCCTTTCACAAAAGGCTTTCCTCCTTAAGTTGTCTATTGTCTGCATTTTTAATTTTTCGTAATGTTACCTCAGTGGAAAACGCTGCTTCTCTACAGCCTTTGCTGGCATTGCTTAGCCTTTGAAGACCATGACAATGATTTGTTTCACAGTCTGCCTCAGTGAAATTTGATTATCTCTTGTTTTAATCCAGGGCTGGCTTGTCGCACTTGCTCGTCCCCCCCATGTAGAAGACTTTTAGAATCTGAGCTCATCTTAGGCTTTGAATAGCTAATTTTCTGTAATGCTTTCCCTGTTTTAATAATGCCAGGTTGTTATGGGCAGGGAGGAAGAAGGAGACAATATGAGAATCCTTCCAGTTGAGACTATCTCCCAGCTCACTCTGTAGCACGTGTAAGGGAATTATTTTCATCTGCTCCCCTGTACCTTTTAGATGATGTGATATCATTCATATTCTCCCACTGGTTAAGTATTCTCCTGATTATTTAGCCTCAGTGAAAGATCCATTTCCAAGCATGGAAAGGATTTGTTTGCTTATACACCTGTGCTCCAAGGGAAGTTCTCCTGTCATCCAAGCCAGCTGAATGACTTGCTGAATTCTTTAACATACATAAAAATGCAAAGTGTCTGAAATGGGAATCAAATGATAATGTTATTAAAATACCCTCTAGGGGTCATGGGATGCAAGCTGCCGTAGTTAGGAGGAGGTGGCTGAGTCAGGGTTTGTTTTCTGTTTATTTTTTTCTTACCATTGAAAACACTCCCTTGATGTTTGCATAATAGCTTTCTATGATGTATTTAGGGTCAGAATATTTTAATTGGGTGGCTAGGTGGCTGAGTGTATTGGTATACTTTCCTCCATCGAGACTTGAGTCCATGTCTTGGGTTATCAGTAAAAATTAGTTTTTTGATCCTCAAAAAGAAAAGGAGTACTTGTGGCACCTTAGAGACTAACCAATTTATTTGAGCATGAGCTTTCGTGAGCTACAGCTCACTTCATGCTCAAATAAATTGGTTAGTCTCTAAGGTGCCACAAGTACTCCTTTTCTTTTTGCGAATACAGACTAACACGGCTGTTCCTCTGAAACGCATTTTTTGATCCTGAGGCATGTTCCTGCACATCACCACTAAAGCTATCCCCTAAATTATTATGATTGGCAACCTTTTTGGAGATAAGGCCCTTGACTAGAACAGTGTGACTAATGCTAGTAGGGTGTGATACACTAGTAGAGAGGTGTGAGAAAGTTAACGTAACACTTGTCTGAAAGCACATGTCTTTTGCCACTGTTGTTGCTTCATTATTACCTCAGCAAAGGAATTTAGTCCTAACATTATATCTTTAAAGAAAAAAGCAGATTGGATTGACTCAGGGATGTTGTACTATCAAAGAAGGAAACATGTAAGAAGTCTCATAAATTGAGAAGCAACGTGGTTGGCCTTGGAGGCAGAAGATTGGAAGCAGACTAAAGAGAACTAGGATTCTTGCAATCCAAATTGTGATCAAGGTTAGTAATCTATACTGTTCACTTTTTAAAATGGAAAGGAGGAAGTCCATGCAGCAATGCCTTAATTTACAAAGCAAATTTCTGTCTCTGGCAGTAAAACAACAGAAATGAAGGAAAAGGTTCAATGCATTTTCCTGTCAAATTGCACTAATGAAATTAAGCAATAAAGATACACTAGGCCACAAACCAGGGGATATTTAATCATGCTTAATGTGTTATATGTACAAGATCATAGGTGAAGTGCCATCAGTGTTAAGGATGAAGTACAAATAGGTACCAAAAAATATGTATCAAATTGCATGCCCAATGTATTACTAAGAATTCAGCTATTCATATTAATCCACTCTCTTTGGCCTCCTATAAACTTTTCTGAGGTTCCCAGCTTCCTTTTCCTTCCTTGTTACTACTCATAGTCTTGCAGCAACCTTCCACCCTCGGTATCCTTCCTTTAGACATTTATGACCTACTGTACTGCCACACATGATTTCTGAAGTCTCTTTTACTTCCATGTGAAGGAAAAGGAATATCCTATCTGGCATTGTGTCTGCAGCTTGATAGTGAGTGGCCCCTGGCACCACCCTATCAGTTTGTCAGCTTCTAGAAGGTAATAGGGTGATAAATAATAGCCAACATAGATTTATCAAGAACAAATCATGCTAAACTAATGTGATTTCCTTCTTTGACAGAGTTACTGGCACAGTGGATAGGGGGAAGCAGTATGCTGATTTTAGTAAGGCTTTTGACATTCTACAAGCAAATTAGGAAAATGTGGTCTAGATGAAATTACTATAAGGTGAGTTCACAACTGGCTCATATTTTTTCCCCCAAAGGGTAATTATCAAAGGTAATTACAAAAGGTTAGCTGTCAGACTGGGAGGTCTGTAGCTAGTGGGGTCCCGCAGTGGTCTGACCTGAGTCCAGTACTATTCAATATTTCCATTAATGGCTTGGATGATGGAGTGAAGACTATGTTTATAAAATTTGCAGATGACCGACTGGGAGGGGTTGCAAGCACTTTGGAGGACAGGATTAGAATTCAAAATAACCTTGATAAATTGGAGAATTTCAACATGATGAAATACAGTAAAGACAAGTTCAAAGTAGTACACATAGCAAGGAAAAATCAAATGTACAACTACAAAATGAGGAATAACTGGCTAGACAATAGAACTTTAGAAAAAAATCTGGGGGTTGTAGTGGATCACAAAGTGAACATAAGCAAACAGTGTGATACAGTGACAAAAAAGACTAATATAATTCTGGGATGTATTAGTGGAAGTGTTGTATATAAGACATGGGAGGTTATTGTTCCACTTAACTTGGTGCTGGTGAGGCCTCTGTGTCCAGTTTTGGGTGTAACACTTTAAGACAGACGTGAACAAACTGGAGACAGTTCAGAGGAGAAGAACAAAAATGAAAGGTTAGAAAACCTGACTTATGAGGAAATCCTGATCATGTTAAGCTTGAGAAAAGAAGACTAAGATGGGAACCTTTTAACAGTCTTCAAATATGTTAAGGGCTGTTATAAAGAGGATGGTGATCTATGATTCTCCATGTCCACTGAAGATAGAACAAGAATTAGTCAGCTTAATCTGCTGCAAGGGAAATTTAGGTTAGTTATTAGGGAAAATTCTGGAATAGATAGCTAAGGGAGGTTGTGGAGTCCCCATCACTGGAGGTTTTGAAGAACAGGCTGTACAAACACCTGTCAGGGATGGTCTAGGTATACTTGGTCCTGCCTCAGTCTGGAAGGATGAACCAGATAACCTCTCTCGGTCCCTTCCAGCCCTACATATATATGATTCTATTCAATCTTGTACACTCTGAGGCTTCTCTTCTGATAAGTGTCTTAGAGTACATTGAGTACCACATGTGCAGCAGCTGAACTGTTTGAAATCAGGGTGTACTGTAGACACAGCATTAGAGATAAGAACTGTATCTACTCAAGATCATCAATATTCTTTGCCCTGTTGGGGAAAGCTTTTTTGTCACCAACACTATTTATTGTAGAGGATTGATCTAAGTTACTAGAATTGTTTGCAGTTCATCTAACTATTTTCATTATTTGTTTGGTGATTATGATTCCCAGACCTGGACCAGGACCACATTGTGTTGGGTGCTGTACGAACACAGAAAAAAACAATCTAAATATAAGCAAGGGACATCAATTGGCTACAGACAGACTGGGAAACTCAAAGAAACAATGAAACAGATGGCTGGTCAGATTTCTGAGTCTCCTTTGACCCACATAATCTAAACTATTAGTTGTAATCACATTAAACCTAAAGCAAACAGTTGACCAGGGTTGTGATCTTTTGTGAATCAGCTCTTTTGAAAGCGGGCCTGAAAACAAGGCCAAAACATTCCCTAATAATATTTATGTTCAAGTTATAACAATACTTCAACAAATGAAGTAAAGATTGTTATCCTGATTTGACAGATTGAAGCAGAGAGATGCAATACCTTGCTGAAATGCACAGAAGTACTCAGCTTCAGAACCAGGATTAGAATTGAAGAGTTCCTGTCTTCCACCTTTATGCTCAGACCCCAGCTCTGTCTAAGTTACTGGAATATTTAAACTGCTCCAAGTGCAGGAGTCATTGGGACAGATGAAATGAAATATGTTATGATTGAAATATCTGAAATGTGATATTTTTCTGAATATGGTGCTGCGAGCAATCTGTATTTTAAACAGGATGGGTACAGCAGCAGTCCAGCAAAAGTGATGGGAAGAGGAACAGGATCAGGGGTTAAGTACCTCAATCCAGAACTTTAACTATTGCTTTCTTTTTCACAGCCCATCACAAAGACTTAGGGAAAGAGAAAAGGAAATATGAATTGAATGATTAAATTTCCATTTAAACAAAAGTACATAAACACACACTATATGTCAATACAGTAATTGAATGTTTTGAATTCTTTAATTTTATGAACCCCTGGAATAGCACATTTTACTACTTTTTTCTCTATTGTCTTTTACTCATGCCACACTCATGGTATTGTTTAATTTGGAAGAATGTGACAAAAAGAGAGCTTATTTAGCAGGTAGGTGGCTTTTTCTAAATTCTACACCATCTAATTCAGACACTGATCATATGGGAAAACATTATCTTCACATAAAGATAAATGGCTCACAGACTGTATGTCTCCAGGTTAATACCATTTAAATGTACCGAAGTACCTCAAACTATAGTATGTTGCCATTGAGTAGGCCAGGTGATTTCATCTTTATTTACATCTCATGAGCATGGTGATATTAGTTCATAAGCATCTCTGAACATGTCACATGCACAATGAACTACACAGCCACAGTATACTAGGGTGCAGGGTTGACTTGAACTGTATCATGTCTAATCACTGTGGTAGATCCTCTTGTGAGATGGGTCCCTGTCTTGGGATCTTTTCTATGTGAAGAACATTTCACCCAATATGTTGGGATTTCTGATTTGAACACAGAGTTGAGTGTTACAATTGTCAGTTAAAGCTGCACTTTGTTCTTGAATACAGCCCTCAGAAGGCAAAGTGTATATACTTATAAATAAATTAAACAAGGATACAGCAACCTGTGATTGTGTCAGTAGTAATAAAGATATAATTCACTCTGGAATAATTATCAAACTTTTCCTGATCACTTTCCTGACTATACCATATCGTTTTAAAATAACATTGCAGACCCATAAATACAAACCCATACCATCAGTTCTGGTTTGTTATAGTCATAATTATTAGATTGGTCTTTACAAAAGAAGGCTCTATTTCATATTTTAACTTATCCACCAGGGGCCATGTTGTGCCCTCAAGCTGCTAACAGAAATACAAGTGATGCTGGTGGCTATTTTTTAGACATATCAAGGGCACAATATAGGGTTGAGATTTAGGTGGAAGACTTAGCTCTCAGACTGGAAGTCGTCCATTCAAAAATGATCAGTCTGGACCAAACATAGTTGTGGTTTTAGGTAAGGCATTCGAATGTCAAAGTGAACAGGCAATAGAAAGATAAAATGCATTATTAAATGAGTACTGGATGCTAAGTTTAAAATACAAAGTACATTCTGCCCAATATCGGACACTAGACAGTATTACTCTTTCTCTGACGATGACTTGAGATGTTTGTGATCTGGTGTCCAGCTATTACTGGAGAAGGCAAATCTATTAGTGGAGTCCCCTATGATGACTTTTTTCTGTGTCTGTGCCCTGCATATTATTACAGCAATCAGTGAAGAATTAAAAGATGGTAGCATAATTAATGCCAATCAACATGATTTTATGGAAAATAAATCTCGTCAAACAAACTTGATATTGTTTTTTTCTAAGATCAACAAGTTTGGTTGGTAAAAGTAACTGTCACGACATATTCTTAGACTTCAGTAAGGCATTCAATGTATTTCTGCATGACATTGAGAGTAAAAAGTCAGCACTATACAAAATTTAATGCAGCTGTTATTGAATGGATTAAAAACTGGTTATCTGCCAGATCACACAAATAATTGTAGATGGGGAATCATCGTCTAATGAGGTGTTGCTAGTGGTCTCATGGAGTGATCTGTTCTGGGGCCAGTGCTATTCATTATCAATGATCTGGAAGAAAATACAAAATTATTACTGGTCAAATTTGCAGATAACTCAAAAATTGGTTGAGTGGTAAATGATGATGGAGACAGGTCAGTTGGACATACTGTGACACAGACCTGGTAGAGGTCCCCCAGCTCTCACCAGGCTGCAGTGTTTGGGTCCCAGCACATTAGACCCATGTTCTCTTAAGCGTCTCTCGGTCTGGGTAGGCTCCAGCACTGTCTCTTTGTGCTCTCTGGCACACTTTCTGCACACAGGTTCTCTGTCTCATCTCTTCATGGACATGACATCTCATGGCCCAGCTGACCTAGGCCCCTAGGAGTTATACTGACTCCCCTGATTTCCTAGTAGCTTAAGCTCCAACCTTGTGGGCACTCTGGATTTACAGTTAACCTAGTCAGGGACATGTGATAGTGGAAGCAAACAGACACACTGGCTTTGTAAGGGTTCCAAAAATCACTTACTCTTTACTTTAGCTAGCACAAGAATTACACAGATCTAGACAAAACCGATGCACCTATGCACATTTCCATGCCTGAGTTTTCCTCACCTCTCTTGAGCATGCTTTGGGATAAGGTCAGAGTTCTGTAAGGAGTCCAGAATCCCCTGGCTTCTCTCCAAATCACGGAGTCTCTCTGCCTCCTCTGCAGCCAGTTTCCTTCTTTCTCTGATAATATCTCAGTTCAAAAGGCCCTCTCTGCTATGAAAGCATGCTTCTATGTTGCACATCTCTCTGCCCGAGCTTATTGTGTCTCTGTTAATACCTCTGAGTTCCCCCATACCCGAGTCTCTCAGGCTCTGTGGTATTAAAAACCAGCATGCATACTGATCTCTTTATGCTGATCAATTCCACTACTCTAAACCCTTGCCCAGACAAACTTGATTGGGTTGGTTTCCCTAGGCTTCCGCATACATTATGCTAAAGAACTCTCATTTGAATGTGAGACCTCAAGGTTTAACAACCCTCTGTTGGCCCTTGTCTGGGAGATACTTGATGCAGCCCTGATGCATATGGCTCATTCAATGTACACTGAGGCATTCAATGATACAGCAGTTTTATAAGATAGATTCATAAGTTGTACATAGATTCCCCAAATCGTCACATATACTGACCTGGATTGCCTAGTAATGGCTCATTTGAACTATATGCCCTTTAACATAGCCAAATGCAAGGTCATACTTCTAGGAACGAAGAAGGTAGGTCACACTTACAAG